GGATGTCGTAGACGATCCGGATGGTTTTGGAGTCGGTGTATCCCGGGAGGGAGTGTGGAATGAGGTGGAATTCCATCTTCCCGGGGGGCTGCGTTCCCGTCTTCTCCCCGTAAATGGCCTTGCAGGTGGGGCACTGCAGGCTCCCGTCCTGCGGGCACCCCGCGGGCGTCAGGGGGGCATGGATCCCCGACCTCACCCACCCACACCCACCCGGCACCCACCTCACACCCCCACACCCACTCCCAAGTCCACCCATCCCCCTCCATCACCACCCAGCACCCCCCCGGCACCTCTCAAGCCCCTCACACTCAACCAGCACCCACATCACATCCCTTCTCACCTACCAACACCCACCCAGCACCCACCCGGCACCCCCAACACCCCCATCCCCGTCTCGCCCCCCCATCCCTCCCCGGTTGTGTCGCGGACCTTGTTGCCGTTGTTGTACATGGCGAGCAGGCACAGCAGGTGGTACATGTGCCCGCACTTGCCCAGCTTGCCCACCAGCTCCGGTTTGATGCCCCGGGGGCTCAGGACGCCCTCGTAGCCGGAGGAGGTGACCAGCCGCTCCATGCAGATGGTACAATCCTGTCGGCACCGGGAGAACCGGTATCAACGTCCCGCTGGGATGAGGGAATCCCCCGCGGCGCTCCGCCCAGCGCGGGGCGATGCCCGTCCCCTCAACCCCCCCAGAGTGGCCGCTCACCTCGTCCGGGGGGTTCTTCACCTTCTGGATGTACCTCCGCACCACGTCCTCGGGGGTCTTGCCTGCCGCGGGCAGAGGGGGGGAAGGGAGGGCGTCAGAGTCTGCCCGCGCTGCCCTGACCCCCCCGCCAGGTCCTGCCACCGGGATGGGGACAGCCCTGCCACCCCCTGACAGCGGGATGGGGACAGCCCTGCCACCCCCTGACAGAGGGATGGGGACAGCCCTGCCACCCCCTGACAGAGGGATGGGGACAGCCCTGCCACCCCCTGACAGCGGGATGGGGACAGCCCTGCCACCCCCTGACAGCGGGATGGGGACAGCATGTGGCCCAAATGAGCTCTGGGCACCACCCCAAACCCCTGGGGGTTCCCCCCCCCCCCCCCCCCGTGGTGTCCCTGATACCGCAGGGACACGGGTGGTTCCGATCCCCAGGGACACGGGTGGCTCCGGTGCCTCAGGGACACGAGTGGTCCTTATCCTGCAGGGATACTGGTGGCTCTAATTCCCCAGGGACACGGGTGGCCCTGATCCCACAGGGACACAAGTGGCTCCTCACTCTTCTTGAGCTGCTTCTTCTTGGTTTTCCTGCAGATGCCGTTGACTCCGGGCACGGGTTTGATGTCGCTCTTGCTGACGGGCGGCGGGTGCAGGATGGGTTTGGGGGCGCGGGTCAGGCACACGGGCAGCCCGGCGGCGCACATGAGGATCCCCGTCATCCCTGCGCAGGGGAAAGGGGCTGGCTGTCCGTCCGTCCTTCCCGCCGCCTGGCAGCGGGGCCAGCCCCCTTCCCTGCCCGCGACGTCACCTGGCGATGACACCCAGTCGGTGGCCCGACCGCGCTTACCTGCGAGGGCAGGATGGACGGGGCCTGTGCCGTTCAGGTTCTTCACCGGGAGGGCCGGGACCCTGCTCGGAGAGGGGAGGGGAAGGGGCTCAGCCGGGTTGGCAGAGCTGGCTCTGTGCCCTCCACGCATGGCATGTCCCCAGGGCAGTGTCCTCCCCACGGGACACGGGGCAGGGTGTCCCCTCACCGGCCCTGGGGAGCTGCTGTCCCTTCCCACGGGGCTGGCACTGTCCCCAGCTCCCCACAGGACACAGGGCACGATGTCCCCTTGCCAGCTTGGGGGGCTGCTCTGCCATCACACAGGGCTGGCACTGTCCCCAGCTCCCCACAGGACACAGGGTAAGGTGTCCCCTCACCAGCTTGGGGGTTTCTGTCCCATCCCACGGGACTGGCACTGTCCCCAGGGTAGTGCCCTCCCCGTGGGACACAGGGCAAGGTGTCACCTCACCAGCCCTGGGAAGCTGCTGTGCCTTCCCGCGGGGCTGGCACTGTCCCCAAGCAGTGTCCTCCCCACAGGACACAGGGTAGGATGTCCTCTTGCCAGCTTGGGAGGCTGGCACTGTCCCCAGGGTAGTGCCCTCCCCACAGGACACAGGCTGCGATGTCCCTTCACCAGCTTGGGGACTTCTGTCCCACCCCACTGTCCCCAGGCAGTGTCCTTCCCGACACAGGGCAGGGTGTCCCTGTCCCACGGGGCTGTCACCCAGTGCCACCTGTCCATCCCTGGGCACTGGGGACACCCCGTCATCCTTGACCCAGGGTGGGGCTTCGTTGGGGTGTCCCGATGGTGACACTCCGTGTCCCACATCACCACAGGGGTGTCTGTGGGAGAAGGGAGGGAGGGAGGGAGGAAAGAAGGAAAGGAAGGAATGGAAGGAAAGGAAGGAAAGGAAGGAAAGGAAGGAAAGGAAGGAAAGGAAGGAAAGGAAGGAAAGGAAGGAAGGACTGGGGCAGGCCCTGGGATGAAGGACAAGGAGCAAAGCCCAGCAGAGCCCTGTGCCCTAGTGCTGCTGCCCTGGGAGTGGAAACAGCCCCCACCAGTGGCATCATCCCCCTCCCTGCCCCAGCCATGACAGTGATGAGTTTGGCAGTGCTCAGCCATCCAGGAACCACGGCTGGGGGCGTCTTTCCTCTCATTCCCAAAGTGGGTGTTTTCCCTCACATTCCCAAAGCTCCTTCACTCACACCAGGGCCAGGGGCTCAGACCCCACCGGCGTGTTCCTGGTCCCCTCTTACAGTCGTGGGAACGTGGGTACCCCCAGGAGAGGGGGTCTGCTCACCCCCCCACCTGCCCTCGGTGAGTCATTCCCACAGGGACACGGGGGCTGTGCTCCCTCCCCAGAGACCTGCCTCGTGGCATCGTGCCACCAGCTGTGTCACACGCATCCCCCCCCGGCCACTGGGGACACAGTTCCCCAGGGCGTGTCCTCCGGTTGCCGTGGATAGCGTGGCACGGCGTGGATCACCACATCCCCTCCGCGGCGACCACCTGGGACGATCCAGGCGTCCCTCCCGCTGGGAGGTGACCCCTCCCGGGGCTGGAGGTGACACGGTGCCACACGGGCTGGGGCTGCCTGCGCCAGCGGGGGACGAGGCACCTCCATCACCCCGTGTGCCCATCCCTGCACCCCCCCATCCCCTCCCGGCTGCCACCCCCGCTTACCCCGGGGGCACGGTGGCCCTGGCTCCCAGTCCGGCCCCGCGCTGCGTCCCGGGCCGGTTGAGGTTGTTGAGCCCGGGCAGCGCCGCGCCGGGCACTCCCTGCCCGGGGGCGAACCCCGCGCCGGCCACACGCAGCCCCTCGCCCTTGGCCGAGCCCCCCGCCCCCGCCGCCGGCCCCGGCGGCCACAGGGCCCCCCCGGCGAAGGTGCTGCTCTGCCGGACGGCGCCGGGGTAGAGTTTGCGGCGCTGCGATGCCAGGATGGCGTTGGAGGCGGCGCGGGTGCTGTTGACCAGCAGGCACTGCGGGCACGAGCAGGGGGTCCCCGTGCTGGCGCCCACCGGCCACGACTGCGATTTGGGGATGGAGCCCATGGTGAGGGGATAGGCCAGGTCCATGCGGCGCCGCAGCCGCCGCTTGCGCTGCGTTTGCCGGTTCATTTGGGACATGCTGCTGAAGTAGATGAGGTAGCAGAAGCCCAGGGAGGAGAGGTCCAGCCAGGGGTGCTGCTTCTCGTAGGCGTTCTGGATGGTGATGCAGATGTCCATGTCGTAGGGAGTCCAGGAGTTGTTGTCGTTCTCCCATTCCCACACGATTCCCTTGCCCGGAGCTGAGGAGGGGTCGTAGAAGTTCCTCCTCACGGGGCGCATGGTCCCTGGGG